CTATGCACGGACAGGGTCACTGTGGATCCTGATCAGTTCATCATTTAGTGCTCCGAACTCACATTTCTTGGCCATTATTTTCAGTGTGGAAACATAAGACTGGGCCGACTCATGTTGTTTCTGGTTGGTCGTGTTAAATGCATGTCTGTCCATAATTATGCTTTTAACTGGCAGGCATAGCTGTTCAAACTTATGTACGCGAACGTCACGGTCCTCTCGGTCCTCGTCCCCCTCGAAGTCAAACGTGTCAAATTTATCCAGTGGGCCGGCAAGGTTAAGAAACGTATAAGCCTTCACCTTTTTTGTAGCTGTTGATAGTCCGGCGTTGCTGTAGACGCGCCATTCCCGCTTGAACTTCTCCCAGTTGTGAGCGATATCCTCATTGAAAACGAGCGGGTCGATCCGGCCGAGTCCTTGAGCCATTCTGACACCATGTAGATGAGCGTGTATGAAATAATAATCTCCGTGTTGAGAACACTAGCCTTTATTGTAGCTTAACACCCACAGCTTATACAGTACACAACACGGGCTCTGGTAATGTTCAACTGCCATTCCCCCGCCCCCTGACGTGATCACATCATAGCCGCAACCATGGCAACTGTCACCACAGTCTACACAGTACACCTTTTTGACAGAGACAATGGCTTTCAATCCTGTGTTCCTTTTTAAAACTGCCAGATGTTTCTGTGATGGACTGCTCAAGGAATTCAGGCAAGCTAAGCAGGGGAAGCCATGGGAAAGAAAAGAGAGTAGTGAAAGATAGAGAGTAGAGGGGCAATGAAAAATTTAAGTAATGTGTGTTAGCAGAGACATAATCAAGCAGGCATGCAGGCATACAGGCAAGATGGAAGAAAGCAGAGAAGGGAGGAGGGAAACAGAAAAGGATGCTAAGCATTGGGGGTGGGCTGTGTTGCTTGAAAGAGAACAGCACTTGAATAAGACAGAAAAATGAAAAAGAGGAGGGAGCACAGAGAAGATCTCCAAAACCACCACTGGATGTTGAACAGAATACATGGGATTTATATAATTTTGAATCCGATTCAGAATAAATTTGATCAGGTTGCCATTGTCATCAACCCAAGAAGAGGTCAACATTAATGAATACATTCACTCCTACAAATTTGTAGTTTATATAAATAGCGTCAACATTCTAAAGAAGGGGTCAGGGAGAAGTGAGAAACAAATAATACAGCTCCCTTCAACACATACCACATATACTCAAGATCCAATGTGCAGGAAAGCCTTGGGTATAATCACAAATGAACATAATCACAATAACAATATTAAGGACAATATTTCATTAATGCAAAATTAAGGAAATAGATTAGGGGCCATTTTTCTTCTTAAAATATACTGACATAGACATTATGCAACAAAATGGGAGCTACTTTTATCTACACATTTTAGAGTGAAATTCAAGATTTTTTACAGAACAGCATTTAGAATAGCATTTTTAAGGTATAACAGAGCTTTGTGCTTACATTGACTCAAGCATTTATTTTAGTTTTGTTAGTGTATATGAATTATGGAGTGAGAGCTGTCTTTTAAGATATTTTTATTCTGTTATGCTCGTGTATAATTTAATCTGCTGGTTGCAGAAAACAGAGTGCTCTCAGTCCAATGGGCTCCTAACGCCTAGGAGACAGCCAGGGTCACAGGGCAAGAAAAGATATCCATTATTTCCAACATTTTAGCGAAGATTCCTTAGGGACTGGTGAAAACCATGCAAGCTAAAAATGTATGTTTTATTGTTAAAGGTCCAAGCACCAATTTTGTTCACCTGAAGTATGTATTGTTTGTGTTAGCTTTCTTATTCTTTGAATTATTATTAATGGTTTACTCCACCCCGGGTTCTGCAGCCCCGTTCTCTCCACGCCAATCTCTTGACCCACTCCCCGCTACTGGGGCGGCGGGGAAGCCTGGGCCGGCCTGTTGATGCTGCGGGGACCCAGAAAACTTTATCAACCGCTGTGCGGTGATGGGGGTGGGGACACTGATCCAGGTTCCCGACGCACCACAGGCTGCACCTGATCAAGCTGGCCTGTACCAGATACCAGTGAGTATCATCAGGCTGTGGTGTATTCAGGCTGCAACCAAACCTCCATTTATCAAAGCCTGATTAAATCTTTGGCATTGGATAACAGTCGCATGGTTAAGGTACGGTATGTGAGGACGGGGTGGTGGTGAGTTATCCTATAATGCCTGTGGTAATTCAATTCAGGGGACAAAAGCATAGTGTGGTGGAGGTAGCAGTTAATCCGCACCTCCAGCATCCGCTAATTTTGGGAACGAATTGTCCGGCTTTTAGTGAATTATTTGGATCTTTGTGTGCGGCTGCCTCTTGGGAAAAGAAAAGTAAGGGAAAGACAGTGGTGGTTCAGGTGAGAGATGCTGAGCCGGGACCTCTGGGTTCTGCTGCAGGGGAAGGGAGTGCTCTGGAGAGAACTACAGTATCATCACAGAGTGCGCTGAACACACAAAAAAGGTACTTCAGAACGAATTAGAGGCAATGCTGGACATGGGGGTAATAGAAGAGTCCAGCAGCAACTGGGCGAGCCCGATAGTTTTGGTTCCTAAAACCGATGGCTTAATAGGTTTCTGTGTGAACTATAGAAAGGTGAATGCGCTGTCTAAGTTTGATGCTTATCCAATGCCAAGTATTGACAAATTGCTTGATCGCCTGGGTTCTGCTAGTTTTTATTCGACACTGGACTTAACAAAGGGATATTGGCAGATCCCCTTGTCTCCCATGTCTAAAGAAAAGACAGCTTTCACAACGCTGTTTGGATTTTTGGACCAATTTGTCACCCTTCCTTTCGGCTTGTTCGGGACTCCTGCGTCTTTTCAGCGTCTGATGGACAAAATTCTCAGACCGCATGTTGCATGCCGCTGCCTGCTTGGATGATATTATCATCTATAGTAACGACTGGTAGCATCATATGCAACATTTGCGTGCTGTCCTGAAGACGCTGAAAAGGGCTGGGCTTATGGTCAACCCAAAGAAGTGTGCGATTGGACGTGTGGAAGTAAGGTATCTGGGCTTCCACTTGGGTCACGGACAGGTGCGTTCCCAAATTGATAAGATAGTAGCGGTTGCGACCTTGGTCGTACAGTGGATGTCACCTACAAAGTCACTATCATGGCTCCTCCCTCCATCGATTCCGCCATGGGCTTTCATCCTAGCTGTCCTCTGGGTCACTAACAACTGACCACTCCTTCCATCATTTCCACCATGGATGCTACCTCCATTATCGCCACCCTGGTCTCTCCTGCCTGTATGTCTGCCCTCTTACAGGCCTTCACCTGCTCCTCATCCACCTCTAAGGTCGCGTGTCCACCAAAGCGTTTTTACCCAGTTGAAAACGGCAGATGCTCTGCTGAAGACGCCGTGCTTTTCCGTTGAGACGTTTCGTTGCTATGATACAGAATATCCACAGCACAGTTTACTTGTAACTGATTTCGCAGATAATTTGTTTCATAATAAAAATGTATTTTTCATCCATTTTGTTCGGTTAGCTCTGTTGGTTGATGTCGTTTTACAGAAAGAATGTTGTGACAGTTGGTTAGTGTGCTTTAGTCCCGCCCCTCCTCCACTGTGATTGGACGGGTGGGTAAAAAGTGACAATGATGAGCGGTGTGTTTTATCCAAAGTTGAATATTTTACAAACCATACAAAACGTTGGGTGCTCAGCACTTCAGTGTGAAAAAACAAACAAACCAAAAAAAAAACCCCGCTGTGCTCCCATTGAAAATAATTGAAAAACGCTTTGGTGGACACACGGCCTATAGCCCCAACATCCCTCCCTTGTATCATCTCTTGCGGCGCAAGGTCACATCTTCCCGGAGGGGGCGTTATGTCACAACTATGTTATGTATGATACGCTGTTATGTTTGTTCTTCTCTAGTTTGTTTTATTTAATAAATACAATTGTTATTTGTACTTCTTGGACATCTTTGTCTTCTTTGGAGCTAAAACTTTACATTGTCGTAATTATTTATCAGATGGTACAACATAAGGTTGTTTTGTAAGCATTATGCATGAATTATAATCCATCAAAAATACATTCTTCATAGAAAGTGCTAATTTTTAATTTGTTAAATCATCTGGAAGCAATGATTCACTATGTTTTGGAGGTGTCCCATAATAGCTACTTGTTTGCATATAACTACTTGTCAACTCAAGTCAAGTCAAATATATTTATATAGTGCTTTTCACAATACAGATTGTATCAAAGCTGCTTCATAGTATCAATCAAAACAACTTTACTTGTTTGCAATAACTACTTGTTTGCAATAACGACCTGTTAATGACCTTTTTTTATTTATGAGACTCTAAATATTATGATTGATATATATATATATATATATATTTTTTTTTTTTTATTTTTTTTTGGATGTGAAGTCTTGATGCATATAAATGCGCGTGCCTCTCGTCAAGGTCACTGTTAAACACAAACCATTCCCATTCGGAGTGAATGCTGCACTTACGGTAATGGTGGTTTAATAGAATTGTTTTAATAAATGTCCAATGATTGTCCACCCTTCTCTCTGGCTTTCTACAGCCAAGGTCACTGATGCCAGGCTTTGCTGTCCTGAGCTTGAATGGTCTTGTCAATGTGTGACAAAAAGGCAGTAAGATTTAGGGAGATAGTACAGTTGAAAATGCTGAGGATCATACTTTTCATTACCTTGACCAAATGGCTTTTGGGTACAGTGACTTAATACATGTGTTGTGTGTTTGTGTGTGTAACTGTAATGTTGACATCCTTTCTGTCATTCAATCAATAAAACTGTACAGGACCTGCCATCACTTAAAATTAGCTGTGACATTTGTGTGAGGCTCAAAAATATCACTACCATAAAAAAGAGATATATGGTCTAAAAATGTAATTACTCTGATGAACCTTGTTCTCTCTCTCTCTCTCTCTCTCTCTCTCTCTCTCTCTCTCTCTCTCTCTCTCTCTCTCTCTCTCTCTCTCTATCTCTCTCTCTCTCTCTAGCCAGAAGACTTTGAGGATGTCCATTCCCACACCTTCAAGGCTAAGACCTTCAAAAAGGCAAAGAGTTGTGCAGTATGCAAGCAGGCTTTGACGAAGGAGGGCCTAGTTTGCAAAGGTCAGTACTGCTATTACAACATATTCTATATTATTATGATGGTGACATACTATGATTCAGCACCAGACTATCCTTGGATAGCTCGTCAAAAGATCTGTGTTCATTATTTTGTCCAAGTATGGTTACTGAATTTGTGTTTTTGATACAAAATATGTGTTGTAAAAATGTGAAAAAACAGAACATCCATATTATTATTAAATCTAGTTATATCTTTTCATATAGCATACACATTTAAGAAATATATTTTGGCAGCAGCAAGGCTGTTAAAATTAGCCTGCTGATTTAACATATAGTAAAAAAAAAAAAAAAAAAAACACCACAGAGCTTGACAAACTCACTAGCCATCCGTTACTCTTTTGTTCCTTCAAAAATCACACTGCCCTTACCTGTTTACTCTTTTTTTTCGTACTAATTGACGTTTATTTCTCTCTTTCCATCAAAATGGTACATTAAACAGACAATAGTATCACTTTTTGTGAATGCCCTTTAGTTTTCCTATCTTTTGACGATTTATACAAAATCAAGTCAAGTCACCTTCATTTGTAAGGTGCTCTTTACAATACAGATGGTTTCAGTAGCTTTACAGTGATAACAGAAAATGAAGGTAACAAAGATTGTTTTACAGCAGATCTATAGAAAGATATTGTCCAGTTTAAAGCTACACTGTGTGATTTTTACCCCCATCTAGCGGTGAAAATGTATATGACCATCCAGTGAATATTAGTTTCTGTTCCTCTCAATTCCGATTTCGTTTTAACTCCTACGGTGGCCAATGTAGTCCAAGATTAACATGGCTTCCAGTTCGACCTAGTCCATGAGTGTTAACTCAAACGTAAACGCGAAAGGCAAAGCCTGAATTAACATGTATGTCCCTCTTTGGCTAATGTACATTCAAGATGGAGGGGCAGCATGGCGACCGACATTAGAACCCCTTACCCGTATATATTTTCAATGGCATATTATACACTCACGAATACTTTATTACTTGAACGAAGTAAATATACATTAATGAGCACATATATTTTTGAAAGAACTAAGTGTTTTTAGCTAAGAATAAACTAAAAGAGTTACACAGTGTAGCTTTAAGTAAGTTCAGCATTAATTAATTTCCTTTGTAAAGAACACTTAATGGAGCACTATTATGATGTTGTTAAAGGCAACAAGTAATGGAAAGCATGTACAATTTGGTTGTGTTTAAGATAGACTAAAGCTCTATCAGGTTTTTCCCTGGGTCAAACATGATCTTCGGTGGTGATGGACGACCACAGTCATCCACACAAACACAATAAAAAGTACCCTACCCATGTGAACTGTGAGCCCAGTACTGACAATAAATCAAAATAATTGCAAAAAAAAAAAAAAGTTTGTAATATTAACTTATCCTATTTATTCATGAAATAAAAAAAAATAAACACTGTCAGGACAATTCATAACAAAGTGCTTAGAACTGTCTTATATTTAAAAATCTGTTAATTTATATGTAAAAACTCACTAACTGACTGATTTAAAAAGAACAACAACGGAACACATTACATAGAAAAAGTCAATTATTTTGCATTTACACCAATAATTGATGCACAGAATATTTGTTTTGCCCATTGCTATGTTTATCACTGTCAATTGGATTCAATCGTGCATTTACATAGGTTGTCAGTCCAGACACTTTTGGCGCTTTTCCACTGCATAGTACGGTACGGTTCGGCTCAGTACGCTTCGACTCGGCGCGGAACAGTTCGGATCGCTTTTCGTTTCCACCGCAGTAGTACCCCTTCAAAGTGTGTGGGACTGATCGTTATTTGCGCGCGCCTCTACTGCCATGACATCATCTTAAAAGCGCCACATTTTCAAACCCACAACACAGGGACAATGGAGACTATCGAGGGGATGGTGTTCCTGATTCTCGGTATGTGGTTGTTTTTAACTGCTAGACGGAAAAATGTGTTTAAAATGAGGCTGATTGCAGCAAAACAAAAATACTGCTAAAAAAGTGTCTCGTGTCTCGTGTCGCAAATCCAATGAAGCTAGTAGTGACGCAGGGAATGACGATTCTGTCTGACCAATCAGTGATCTGCAGTGTTTCACGTCACATTTTAATACCGGTACGGTACGCTTGGAACCTCAACAGACCAGGTACCATTTAAAGCGGCCTGAAGCGAACCGTACTGTACCGTACCATGCAGTGGAAAAGCACCACAAGTGAGACGTAGCGAACCGAACCGTACCGTACTATGCAGTGGAAAAGCGCCTTTTGATTTGTAGGTTAGCAATATGAAAAATATAAATTTTATACAGAAAGCGAGCAAATATCGCTGCCATTAGTCAATGATGTCATGATCCTGGTATTCTCCTTCCTCTGTCTCCCCCTTTTGGTCACACATTGTCATCTTCATTCACCCTTTCTCTGTGCTGACACGCCCACTTAGTATTACTCTTCATTTTCTACCAGCCGTCTCGTCAATTATCGCTATTGCACTCATCTCCTCCTCACCTGCTACCTCTTTATCTCTAATTTGTCTTTCTATTTCTCGGCCTATCTCCCAACTCTCCTTTGCCAGATTATTGTAGATGGTTACATTCATGTCGGATAGTTCTTCTGTTTAACTAAGTCCCGTCCTGTTTGGTGAGTCCTGTCCTGTTTGGTGAGTCCTGTCCTGTCGGTAACTCTTACTGTTCATATGCTAAAGTCTGCCCAGTTGAAGAAGAGAGACGGGTTTCTCACCTGTGTTTCTGACCGCTGTTTCTGTTCCTCATCTGCTTTCTCCGTTGTCTCTCCGGGACCAGCCAGCCCAGCCCGGGTGTCATTTCTACTGTTTTGTTTAAGAGACTTTCTGTTGTTAGCCCAACGCGGCGCATTCCTTGGTTATATTAAAGAGACTATTAATCTGCTTACGCCCTTGGGTCCTTCCTTCAGACATCCTTGACAGAATAATCTGGCCATTATAGACCCAGCATTGGAGAACCCAGTCCAGACTGCGCTAGAGATTCAGGGAGCCATGCTGGGCTGTCACAAGGAGGAACTGTCCGCTACCAGACACGCCGTGGATACCTTGGCAGCTCGAATTACTGACCTCTCTGAGCAGTTACTCATCTCCGTCGCGACCCTCCATCTAGACAACAGGAGGTTCATAAGCCCAGGGTAAACAACACGCCCTGCTTTGCCGGTGAGCCATCTGAATGTCGCCCCTTTCTGACTCAGTGTGAGGTGTTTTTTCTCTGCATCCTGTCACTTACTCCCAGGATCAAAAACACATCACCTATATTGTCTCTCTGCTCACCGGGAGGGCACGCAAGTGGGGTACGGTCGTTTGGAACGCCAAGTCGGACCGCTTGGACCGGTATTCGCTGTATAAGGAGGAGATGATTTGAGTTTTTGACCGCTCCGCTCACGGAATTGAGGCATCTCATCTCCTCTCCGAGCGCCACTGCTCTTGACCCTCCGCTCAGAACCCACACTACTTTTTCCACTACTCTCCACTGGCCATGCTCCTCTGTTTCCTGTCAAGCCCTAATTTACTTGGGAGCCGAGGGTAGTTTTATTGATGAGGCCTGGGCCCTTGAACAGGGCATTCCCTTAGTTGATTTAGAAGAGTTCACGTCTGGCAGCCTCCTTGAGAGGGTTCACCGGGCTACTATTCTGGTGAGTCTGACTGTTTCTGGAAATCATCGAGAAACTAGGTGTGGAACGGTACATGTATTCGTATTGAACCGAAACGGTACGGGCATCACGGTTCGATGCACGAATTTACACGGAGAATACACGGTACAAAAATAAATAAAACTCGCGTGCATATTAATTTATGTAATGCGGAACTACTGTTAGATACTCGCGTTCTTTAGGGACACATAATCTGTACCATCGGCTAGCTCTGAACGCGCGTTCACTTCAAATGTTGGCTTTATACGCGCATCCTCACTTTGCGTCAAACTAGACGCGAATGTGGCACTCTGTTCGTGTTTTGTGTGACCGCATAATGAACAGGCTGCGATGTCAAGATTGCAGTGTGTGTGTATGTGTGTGCATGCGTGCGTGCGTGCGAGAGAGAGAGAGAGAAAGAGAGAGAGGCGCGATAGAACTGTGGTTACACTGAATCCCACAGCAGAAACGCCCCTTCAAACAGAATGTTCAAATCAGAGGCAAAAATCAGGCTAGGAAAAATGCCCTTTATTACTAAATTATGACTATTTTTAATCTAAAAAATATACTAACACTACCGAGGAAACATTATAAAATAATAAAATAACCCCATGTCAGGGGACCTTGAAAGCATATTTTAAAAACTGAATTATAAATTTACATTTATTTGTTTCATATTAACACCAATAATAACATATTCCTTTTGTCACTGCGTAGCATTGTTGTACTAACATTCCATGTGAGTACAACAAGAGCATTAAGTGGCTTCATTATGACATACAAGTGTCATACTCCTCCATTTTAAGGGCTTTGGTCTTAAGAGTTAGTAGGGTATAGAGATGGTCACTTCCACATGGACTTTCCCTGTATTTTCCCTTTCCCTTTTTCCCTGTATTTTCATACCTTCACGCATGCACCCTGCAGATATCACGCGTCATCAGCACGTTTCATGCTATGCAGAGTTCGTCACTAGACAGATGTCAGTCACCTTTTACAGTTCCTCCTGAACCAAAACAACAAACTTATGCTTCGTTCACACCAACTGTCATTTGGAGGAGATGGAACCCTGAGTTTCAATGACAGCCCTATCAACGGCAAAATTAATATTGCATATTTTGAAATCTGGATGCCAAATGCAGCATTTCTTAAAGTCACCATAGAATCTAAATTGACCAATTGTATGCCCTCCTAATCTTTAATCAAAATAAAAGTCCCCTCCCACCAGCGACATCTCTGATGAAGTGTCTTTTGGCGCAAGGATGGGACAACCTTGGCAATCACATGAGATTGCAAAGCAATGGCAATCAACAACAATCCAATCAATTCCCGTAGGACAAAATTAAGTCCCGCCCAAGATTTTTTCTAGTTTGAGAAACCGTTTCACTACTTCCATTTAATTGACTTTAAAGGGTTAGTTCACCCAAAAATGAAAATTAAGTCATTAATTACTCACCCGCATGCTGTACCAACCCCGTAAGACCTTTGTTCATCTTCGGAACACAAATGAAGATATTTTTGATTAAATTTGAGAGCTGTATAACTACCACACAGGCTCCTAAGGGAAAGACACTTGACGGCCCAGAAAGTCAATGAAGAAAATGTTTAAATATTCCATGTGACTACAGTGGCTCAACTATAAGTTTATCAAGGGACGAGAATACTTTTTGTGCAAAAAAACAA